CTGACCTCACACAGCAGCTGACCTCACACAGCCTCTGACCTCACACAGCAGCTGACCTCACACAGCAGCTGACCTCACACAGCCTCTGACCTCACAGAGCCTCTGACCTCACAAACTTCTTTACCTCACAAAGAGTGTCCGGCTCATGAGTGCTCAGGGCTGTCACATGAGCCAGACGCTGATGGCTCCCTGAGGCTCTCAGGCCGCGTCCACGCCGAGTGGATGAAAGATCAAAATTGATTGCTCGACTTCAACCGAAATTGTGCCAGTAATTACATGAAATATATATTAATTCGTTATTATATGGATAAATTAAGAATATTAAATAAAATTAAGCATAGGGAAAAAAGCCTGCAGTCTTGCAGGCTTCCTTATTAACAGCGCCGACTGCAAAAGTAACAGAAATAAGAGCGAAATAAAAAGTGACAATAGCAAAATTATCGTCAGCAGCAAAAGTGTAAACAACGACAGCAAAATTAAAATCAACAACAGCAAAAATAGCAGCTATAACACAGGTGGAAAAAGGCAGTAAAGTTATAAATATCCCAATAACAGAAGCAATTGCAACAATAGCTCTATGGGCATCTGTAACAACAGCGAGAGCAGCAACAATAAAAGCAACTGCTGCTGCTGCTGCTGCTGCTGCTGCTGCTGGCAATGCTGCTGCTGCTGCTGTTACTGCTGCGGCAGATGCTGCGACTAAATTATGTTTAAAAACACGTTACGGTCTCCTAGTTAGCGTGTCACAGACCCTGCGTGTCATAGACCCCAGACCCCTAATAACGCTCGCTAATCATTAAATCGGAGGCTAAATCCCCGACTAGTGGGGAGGTCGAGGCGGAAATCGGGAATCAGATTAGCGGTCAATCTTGGGGACTGGGAGGGGCAGGTAGGGGCTTCTTTCTCTTGGGGACTGGAAGGGGAAGGCCCTATGTTCAGTCCCAATTTTTTTAAGCTCTCAATAACCACTACAAGTGAACTGTTGAATAAAAAAATATAGCAATTCTATTGTTGAATAAAAGACTATTACAAGTGGTCTGTTGAATTAGAGACTAAGTAAGTAGACTATTGAATAAAATAATATAGCAAGTGGACTGTTGAAAAGACATTAGCAATTGGACTGTTCAATTTTAGATTATACCAAGTGAACTGTTCAATTAAAAACTATAGCAAGTGGACTGTTCAATTAAAGACTATAGCAAGTGGACTGTTCAATTAAATACTATAGAGAGTGGACTGTTCAATTATAGACTATAGCAAGTGGACTGTTCCATTATAGACTATAGCAAGTGGACAGTTCAATTAAATACTACAGCAAGTGGACTGTTTAATTAAAAACTATAACAAGTCGACTGTTCAATTAAAGACTATAGCAAGTGGACTGTTCAATTAAATACTACAGCAAGTGGACTGTTTAATTAAAAACTATAACAAGTCGACTGTTCAATTAAAGACCATAGCAAGTGGACTGTTGAATTAAAAACTAAGTAGACTATTGAATAAAATACTGAGCAAGTGGACTCTGAGTAAAAGATGAAGCAAATGGTGCGTCAAACTATGAGTTCGATATAACATTTCCTAATTATTGAACTCATTGAATGGATGCGTGATTCAGATTACGAACACTTTTGAACTGTAGCGAAATTAAAAATGAATATTATCTCAGCGAGTGAGACGTAAGAAAAACACGTACGTAATTTCAAGTTTTTTTAATCATTCGCTTTCATGTTGATTCATCTATTCACATGATTACTCATTCATCTTTAAGTTGACTCATTTTTCATTTGGTTGACTCCTTTTTTTCATGTGTGAAACATTCATAGTTTTTTAGACCCGTTTCGGTATTTTAGACCTTGACTCATATACCGTTTCATTGCCCCACCACCTTTTCCCCTTTCCATGTTTCCTCTCCTCTTTCCCCTCAGATTGTGGCGGGTGTTCTCGTGACGGCGTTCGTGGCAGCCTCATGGGTTGGGGCTACACACCTCATCAAAGACTTGTTTCTTCGGCGAGCCCCACCCATTGTTTACCAAGCCCGTTCCTACCAATCCCCACTCCCCGTTTCCCCACTGCCAGACATCGATGTCTTGGCCAGTGCCCATCATTCTAAAGAGCTCGAATATTTTCCTGATTTTAGAATAGATCAAAGTCCCAATTCCGGAAATGATCACTCTGCTAAATCCAAAGTATATCAGAATCGTTATCCCAGAAAAGATAACTTTGTGAATTATAGGATCAAACGAAATTCTGAATTCAGCTCGAAGTTGAGTTTGGTATCCAGAATAGGCCAGAAATCAGATTTCGGGATAGAATCTGCGCTAAATTACAAAAAGAGTTCAAATTCACATCAAAGAACATTTCTCCCTCCGAATTCTACTGCCCGTTTTACTCCAAATTCAAAAAGAATTCTTAAGCCATTCTCCAAAATGAGTCAATCTCCAAACTCTCGAATGAGTCAAACTCCAGATTCACCTTTAGTTCACACCCCGTTGCCAAGACCGAGGCGAAGTTCTGAGGGTGATATTTTCTCCAGACCACATTCATCACAGCTTTTATCTGCGTCATCCTACAATACCATCAACAAAAACGCCGGCAATACCGATGGTTCAACCAAACTTGTGACCAGATCAGATTCAACGGCCACATCCGAAAAGCCCCGGAAGTCACGTATCGACATATTGAGACAGCGCAACCAAAAACGATTGGCACGCAAGCAGCAGTTGCTGGCGAAACAGAAGAAAATTCCCGAAAATTCTGACACCGGTATCGGTTATGGAGAATTAATTGATCCTGAAGATTTCGGTGCGAACGACACCAAGTACGAGTCTGTCCCAGTCCCGGCAAGGCCTTTCTTTAGGTTCGGGTTCGCTCCCGCCAACGAGTATGTCCCCTACGGCCAACAGGTGAGCGTTCCCTTACAGAACGTTTATCTCTAAGACAAGCCGCTGAGCATGAGTGTCCCAAAGTTTTCCCGACTGTCAACCAATTGCCAGTACGTCTGCATACCGCTGGCCACTGATCAGAGTTGAGTCCCCTATAGGCCTCACTACGGCTAATCAGGGAGTGGTGAATGTCAAAAGTCTTTCTTTTCAGCTAGTACGTGAGGTGAGTATGGAGGGTCCAAGGCTCCTACGAGTGAGCAGGGAGAGTTTAGTGACGTAGACGTAAACTCATAACTGGCCTGGGAGCTTTGAGTATCCTAGATGTTTCTTGGTACTATGAGTGTTCTCCAGTCTTCGTTGAATACAGTCTTTAAAAGGCTCTTCCTAAATCCCCATTAATTATTAATCACCCTTTTGTCTTCCCCCAGCCATCAGTGAACGCCGTATTCGATGCCCCACTTTTCACCACGTGGTTCTGCACGGCGTGGACGACGCTCTTCTTCCCGCTGTACCTCATGTGCCGCTCCTGTGCTTGCAGAGGACGCGCCGACCTCGCAACCTCCCTCAGGGGCGTCACGGCTGCCTTTAGGGAGCGCGGCGTTACCTGTAGTAGGTGTTACCCAAAGAAGGCGTTGCCTGGAGGGTGTAACTGCTGGAGATGTTATCGCAGGAAGTGTTGCCGTTAGCTAGTGTGACCAGCAGGAGGTGTTGCTCTCAGTTGGCATTACTTTTGCTAGGTCTTACCTGGACAATATATAGGCGTTACTTATAAGAAGTGTTACATGTAGGTGCTACTTATAAGAGGTTTTACGTATAGGAGTTGCTAATAGGAGGTATTACTACGCTTAGGAAGTGTGGCCTGTCGAATGCGTTGTCTGCATTGGGTATCATTCGTTTAAAACTTTTGTAGGATGAAGCAGTAGGAGGTTTTTACTGTCTGTGTACTGCATCACCTCTGTCACATGGTGTCTTTACTACTTGTACAACAGCTCGTGCTGTGCAGGCAAGCTGCTCTCGCGGTGCTCGCTGTTCGCTGTGTTGTGGGTGGCCACGCATTACATGTACGTGTACAGCCTACGTATCCTGGACTGCACGGATGTGATGGCGCTGTACTCGGCGCACGTGGCCTTCGTGTATCTACTTGCGTGGGTCATCCTGCACGAACAGTTCGTGGGGGTCAGGGTGAGTTGTTTGGTAACTCGGGAGTGGCAGGTGAAGTGGAGTGGGGTCAGGGTGATTTGGGGTAGAGGGTGAAGTGGGGTCAGTGTGGGTGTCAGGGTGATTTGGAGTAGAAGGTGAAGTGGGGCAGGAGTCAGATTGAGTCTCAGTGGGACTCCGGAGTAAAGAGTCAGTGTTTGATTTGGGGTCAGTGAGAATCCCACGGGGACTGAGAATATAGGGATGAGGAATGGGGCAGAGTGAATGTTTTTGAGGCGAATGTTGGGGTGAATGTTACGGTGAATCATAGAGTTAATGTTAGGACGTGTGTAAGGGTGAATTTTAGGGTGAGTATTAAACAAGTGCTTCGTGGGTGTTCAGCGTTTGCTACCATCGTACACCTTTATGCACACGCCTATTTAGGTTCACTTGCATGTCCAATGTCCTGCATGTTGTACGACCTGCCCTAAGAGAGGCTGTAGAATGATTTGTCACAAATCCACGATTGAACCCTAGTGAATAATAAATGAAATTTAACGGCAAAAGTTTGAAGTAATGAAATACCAAGTTGGTGCACACGTCGGGAAGAAGCCCCTAAACTTTGCATCAGACGGCACAGAAATTGCGAATGGACAAATACATACCTGAAACCGAGGCCACGTTTAATGACCACATCGTGGAAATAGTTACGAAAAGTAGACAACAGATTGAGTGGATCTGGCGGACATTTCTAACAAGAGAAACGGCGTCAATAATTACAGCAGTACTCCTTATTCTGGAGTACTGCTGCCAGCTTTGGGCACCTCACCTCCAGGCGCCGTGAAGCAACTGGTGGAAGTTCAACGGACCGTCACGTCCAGGATAAGCGGGATGTGAGAAGTGCATTACTGGACAGGTTGGTGCATCTGAGCCTGTAATCACTGGAGAGGAGGTGTGTAAAGGTATATTATACAGTACTCCCGGTAAATGAAAAGCAGACTGACTCCTAGCTTTGAAAATGAGTCCTTCGGTACAATGACGTATCACAGCGACATGAAGGGTAGAATACCTTTAAAGCAAGCGAACGGCGGTCAGAATTCAGAGTCTATGGCAAGAATACCTTAAAGTCCGAGACTCTTCAGTGCCTTGACGATATGATGTTCTACCCCTTTGGGGCCCTCCAAAGGTGACTAGATTCGTTCTTGAGCTCAAACCCAGATCGTAAGTCTCTCCCCACTACTATCAGCAAGAAGCAAGTAGCGGCATTTTGTATCAGCTGGCCCAACTATAGGCAGATGCATGCAAGTTCAAGTTATTGGTTGATCCCGAGGCTCCGGTGGCGAAGTGATGCCTGAAGAGCGTACATGGACGGCATCACGGAAACGACTACGCTGGCAGGGGTGGTGCTTGCAGCAGCGTCAGCTGCTGGCAGTGCTGTCTATAAGGTGAGCTTTCTGTCAGCAAATTATCTTAAATAGACCACTGTTAGCGCTGACTACTACATCAGCTTCATACTCTCCAAATAGTTTAGGCCATTATTTTGAAATATATTTCAATTGATTTTTTATATTACTTTGTGAACTTTGACAACACCTCTTACTGACCACTACCCCATCACCAGTGTTATTCACCACTCCCCGTGTCACAGGTGTTATCCACCACTCCCCGTGTCACAGGTGTTATTCACCACTCCCCGTGTCACAGGTGTTATTCACCAGTCCCCGTCCGTGTCACAGGTGTTATTCACCACTCCCCGTGTCACAGGTGTTATTCACCACTCCCCGTGTCACAGGTGTTATTCACCCCTCCCCGTGTCACAGGTGTTATTCACCACTCCCCGTGTCACAGGTGTTATTCACCACTCCCCGTGTCACAGGTGTTATTCACCACTCCCCGTGTCACAGGTGTTATTC